CCCCAAAACCCCAAAACCCCAAAACCCCAAAACCCCAATAATCTCTCATCTCCGCTCAAGTAATTATTATTTATTCATGGAAATGGAGGGCACTATAACGTTAGACCAGCTTGTTAAGTATCACTCAAAGATTGTACTACTGAAGAAGAAGCCTGAGAAGTTGAAGAGTTTTGTAATCAAGATGGTAAGACTATGCATAAGAGAGGAGAAGGAGGGTACTAAGGGAGGGTGAAGGTTAGCGGCTGATGAGAATGGATTTGGAGAACTTGGGCTTGAGGGTTTATAGGGGGCCAGGGTGGAGATGACTGATTTGTATAGATTGGGGCAGGGAGTAGGTCACAGATAATGCAGATATATGATATGATGATGCCTCCGTTTTCGAATTTGAAGAATAAGGATAAATAGGAAATTATCTGCTAAAATTATTTTTGAGATATGATCAACGAATTTTGAGTTATTGTGCTTAATCTCTGAAGCTTGAAAGTTCTCACCCCTCAATGGAAAAATATGTCTGAATTCGATTCCAAAAGCCTTAACCGAAAAATTCAATAGTAATCATGAACTTTTCAACGAACTTAAGCAATTCATTGAGAGTTCAGCTTTGATTGAAAACAAGAACAGCTTTTGGACTTTTCCTGAGTTTAAAAGCAATCATAAAGTTAATCAGAATGAGTTACCAAAGAACTTGAGAGAGTTAATTTTCCCAGATCCAAAATACTACATGATCGGGTTTAATCCTGATAAGAAAGAGCAAGAGACTAAGACAAGGCTCAGTGATTGGACAATCAGCCAGTCTAAAACAAATGATACTTTAAAAAAAAGCTTTAACAAGCCATCTTCGCCTTTAGAAGCTTCCACTTATAGTGACCAGAGCTGGCAGAATATCTCCTCCAAGAATCATAAGTCAATGATTCAAAAAGGGAAGACAAACAAAAGGTAATTTGTTACTTAATTCTTCACAGGCACCCTTCTAAGCCTAAAAAGAGTATTCAGTTCGCAGGAAGCAAGAGGAGCAGCATAAATAGTGTCCTACAAAAAACAAAGTTCAGCTCTACCTCTAAAAATCAAAGCTCAGTTAAGACCTCTTCAAAGGTGAAAAACTATTCCATGATTAAGAAATATATGCTGAAACATGATAGTGCAAGGGAGGAGAAGAAATTTTCTGTGCTAAAGAAGAAAGCTCACAAAAACTCAACCCCTGTAAGTAACTCAGTGCTAGTGCAAGGAAGAAGTATTGACGCTTCTCATAACCTCAGTCAGATCTCAGGGCGGTCTTACTTGGACAAGTCGAACGTAACTCAGACGCCAAGGACGAGGGCTCCCAAGAAGTTTTATAGTAGTATGGATAAATAGAACTGAGATTTCCTCGAGGTATCAATATCATTAATGTGTAGAATCAGTTATAGACCTCATAACACTCCAAAGCAGAAAGTCATCCCCAGACCAAGGCCAAGTGTTCCTTCTTCTATTGACAAGAAGGTTAAGAATACACAGAAGACTAAGGAAGTGAAGCCAAAGTACACGACTAGTAGGAATCAGAAAATGAAATCCAATGGGCTGAGTTCTTATGATAACTGTAACCAAGGTTTCTAATATCTAGCTAAAATCAAGAAGATGATCCTTCAGCCTGCTTTGAGCAAGCCTACAACAGTAAGTAGTAGGCTCAGAAAAATGAAGGAGCAGGGTAAGTTTCCCAATTTCGAATATATAGCCCTGATTACATCAAGACTGAGGGGCAAGAAGGTTGCTGGAACTGAGAGCACTAACTCACAGTACCAATCCCTGACGAAGTCAAGTAATCTCCTTGTGTAATTTCTTAGGTCTTGACTATTACTCTAAAACTAAGACGAATACAACAAAATTTCAGAAGTTAAGAAAGCGTGTTGCGAAGACTTTTGTAGAAAGTAACCCTAAATAAATAATTATTCAATTTTAGTAAGAATATTCGGGGTTTTGGGGTTTTGGGGTTTTGGGGTTTTGGGG